TGCTAAAACTACTACTACTACTACTACTACTACTACTATCACTGCTACTACTACTACTACTACTACTACTACTACTACTACTACTACGACTACTACGACTACTACGACTACTACGACTACTACGATTACTACGACTACTACGACGACGACTACTACGACTACTACGACGACGACTACTACGACGACGCCGACTACTAGTACTACTACTACTACTACGACGACTACTACTACTACTACTACTACTGCTACAGCTGCTACTACTACTACTACTACTACTATCACCACCACGACGACGAATACTACAACAACAATTGCTACAGCCTCCTACTACCTCCTGCAACCTGCTACTACCTACTACCTACTCCCTCCTACTTACCACCTCCTACTACCTCCTGCTACCTATTACTACCTACTACCTTTTGCTGCCTACTACCTGCAGCCTGCGACCTACCACCTACCACCTACTGCCTACCACCTACCCTGCCACCTACTGCCGACTTCCGACTGCCTATTACCTTCTTCCACTACCGCTACTACTGAGTTACTATCGTCACTACAATCACTACTAGGTACGAATCACCACCACCACCAACCACCACCAACCACCACCAACCACCACCAACCAGCACCAACCAGCACCAACCAGCACCAACCAGCACCAACCACAAACCAGCACCAACCAGCACCAACCACCACCAACCACCACCCACCACCACCCACCACCACGCACCACCACCCACCACCACCAACCACCACCACCACTACCGATGCTGCTACTGCTGCAGTGGCCGCAGCCTCAGAAGCATTCGCAGCACGACATTCATGCCAGTGACAAAGCTTCGCCAATCTGGATTTAAGTTTAGGAAGGGCATGATCTTTTGTTCTTGGTATTCAGGATTTCTTGCCCGAAATCCCCAGAAAAAAAGCCCAAATGTCCATGTGGCAGGACCTGGATGGCTGGGAAATCGGCGGCCGCATCTCATGGACCCCTCACCTTGTGGTATACCTCCTGACAGAATGGAGTCTGTGGGCTTCAGGGCTGAAGCTAGCAGCTAGCAGTGAGACAGTTTCCGGTTGGATCTAAGTCTGCTGTTTCCGGAAAAGATCTTTCCGAACCAGGCTCGCTTCATTCACCACACGCCATCGCCAGGACGGAGCCCACCGATTTCGGCCCGGCTGCGGTAAACCGTGCCCTGCTCGGGCCCTGGCAAAGCTGATCAAGCGGTCGTTCAGAGAGATTCCGGAATTCGTGGGCCGAACTGCTGTGCGACGGCTTTGTGATTTTCGGAGACACCCTGGCGACGTGTGCTTTCAAGATAAAAGCTCGCGAATCGATCATGGGTTTCGTGAAACGTACTCGTACCGATTGGTAGCTTCTGAAGCCAGCGAGACTGCATACTCTCCGGAGCTTCACTAGACAAGCAGCCTGAGGTACTACCGGCTGTACTTAGCGGATGACGACATCGGAGTGAACCGCGCGTTGCTGAACTACAAGGTGGGACCAACTTGTAGCGAAGACCTCTGTCCGACCTTGTCTCCAGGTGCCCTCGTTCCGATACCTGCGCTTCACGGTCCTCGCGCTGCGCAACGACACCTTTGCCACAGGCAGCTATGTACGCTAGCTATGGTCCGCAGACAAGAGCCCTCAGTCCAGCCTGCTCTCTGCCCAACCCCGGTTCGCCCCAGGTGTTCAGATTGCCGACATCGAGTTTCGTGTGGCGGGTGTTACTTTGGGCCTCACGGGGGCTCTGGCGAGCAACGAGGGCAGCTTGGCCAAACTGTAAACAGGTAACCCGACATGTGGAGTGACCTGGGCCTGTGCCTTGCTTTCCAAATGGAGACTAGCTCCAAGCAGGGAGTGAGCGGACTTCCCGGTGAGCTTATGCTGGCATCTCCAAGTTGGTTTACGAGCCATACCATCGCATTAATCATTAGTGGATATATCCCTGAGACTCCAAAGCACCGGCAGACTTTTGGAGCTTACACCCTGCAGGTGGCATCAACCCTTCTGGAGAAGGACTGTCCCATCCGTTTTGGAGAAGCTCGTCGGCTTTTCTTTCACCGCTAACGTTGCTTGAATCCGGGGGCTTCGCTAGACCTGCCAGATGTTGGCAGTTGTGGGTATGAGGCAAGTTGGTAGTGGTGTAGTTTCGACGACCAGGGGCAGGCCTCCGCCGTCCAGCGGGGCACCTATCTCTTCTATACATTGACATGTTGTGATTTGCAATAGATGCTGCGACAGTCCAAGACTCCAGGCCTTTCAGCACCAACAGCCGGAGCACCACTCCCGGTCTTTGCAGGACCTAGTGAAGCCATCGACGGCTCCACTACTACGAAGTGGTTCGATTATCAAAGGGCTCCCTTGGTGGTGCAGCTTCCTTCTGCCCAGCTGGTGGAGGCCCTTCAGAGGGGGTGTGTTGTCTGCCCGTTTCACAGCGACGCAGTGACGTTTGTTGGAAAACGGACATCTTCCGTTTTCGCTTGACACGAGCCCAAGCTACGCTGCTGCTGCTCTGCCCCCTGCCCCGGCACCTACAGGACCTAGAGCCCAAGCCAGATCTCTCTGCCTTACACGCAAACCCAGCCCGCGCCGTGACTCCCGATCCCACGACCACTGTGGCGCAATCTTCATCCGATCCGTTCTGTGACTACTGTCTCACGTTTCGAAACAAGCGATCTGGCAGAATCGCCCCGGCCCTCAGCCTTGAGATTCGCACATACTCCAGTTCTACCAGCCCTCGTCAAGCTCTCAACCTGAGAAGCCGGAGTAGTCGAGGGTCAACTATGTCAGTTTGGCTATGGGGCCACGACTCTGGGTGTTACCAGACGATTTTATTCGTCGAGGATCAGCTTCAGAGCTTGGGGGCATGTTTGTTGTTGGTGTTGTCGGTGTGGTCGTGATAGGCTTTCCGCTTCACCACCGCAAGTGACGAGCCGGATCGTGATCCCGTGCAGTGGAAGCTGGAAGGCTCAGTTCTCGGCTGCTCGGCCTAACCACCCACAGCTTTCAGCCCTCCACGAAAAGCCCCCCAAAACAGGGTATTGGTCTTGGAGCGGTATGCGAGGGCTAGCATTGTCCCTTCGAAAGGAGACCATTCATCATTCATCATCATCGCCATGATCATCATCTTCTTCTTCACCACCACCCACCACCACCCACCACCACCCACCACCACCCACCACCACCAACCACCACCCACCACCACCAACCACCACCAACCACC